AGGTTACTGAAAGCAGAGAAGAGTTTTTACGAGGATAGGCTCAAGTTAGAGTATGTAGGAAAGAGGGAGATTATTTCCCAGTAAAAGTAGGCCTTAGACAAGGATGTGTGATGTCACCGTGGTTGTTTAATATATTTATAGATGGGGTTGTAAGAGAAGTAAATGCGAGGGTCTTGGCAAGAGGCGTGGAGTTAAAAGATAAAGAATCACACATGAAGTGGGAGTTGTCACAGTTGCTCTTTGCTGATGACACTGTGCTCTTGGGAGATTCTGAAGATAAGTTGCATAGGTTGGTGGATGAATTTGGTAGGGTATGCAAAAAAAGAAAATTAAAAGTGAATACAGGAAAGAGTAAGGTTATGAGGATAACAAAAAGATTAGGTGATGAAAGATTGGATATCATATTGGAGGGAGAGAGTATGGAGGAGGTGAATGTATTCAGATATTTGGGAGTGGACGTGTCAGCGGATGGGTCTATGAAAGATGAGGTGAACCATAGAATTGATGAGGGGAACCGGGTGATCGGTGCACTTAGGAGTCTGTGGAGACAAAGAACTTTGTCCTTGGAGGCAAAGAGGGGAATGTATGAGAGTATAGTTTTACCAACGCTCTTATATGGGTGTGAAGCATGGGTGATGAATGTTGCAGCGAGGAGAAGGCTAGAGGCAGTGGAGATGTCATGTCTGAGGGCAATGTGCAGTGTGAATATAATGCAGAGAATTCGTAGTTTGGAAGTTAGGAGGAGGTGCGGGATTACCAAAACTGTTGTCCAGAGGGCTGAGGAAGGGTTGTTGAGGTGGTTCGGACATGTGGAGAGAATGGAGTGAAACAGAATAACTTCAAGAGTGTATCAGTCTGTAGTGGAAGGAAGGCGGGGTATGGGTCGGCCTAGGAAAGGTTGGAGGGAGGGGGTACAGGAGGTTTTGTGTGCGAGGTGTTTGGACTTCCATCGGGCATGCGTGAGTGTGTTTGATAGGAGTGAATGGAGACAAATGGTTTTTAATACTTGACGTGCTGTTGGAGTGTGAGCAAAGTAACATTTATGAAGGGGTTCAGGGAAACCGGCAGGCGTGACTTGTGTCCTGGAGATGGGAAGTACAGTGCCTGCACTCTGAAGGAGGGGTATTAATGTTGCAGTTTAAAAACTGTAGTGTAAAGCACCCTTCTGGCAAGACAGTGATGGAGTGAATGATGGTGAAAGTTTTTCTTTTTCGGGCCACCCTGCCTTTGTGGGAATCGGCCAGTGTGTTAATAAATAAAAAAATATTTAGTTGTAGCTACAGTTAGAGTAAGAGGTAGATGGGACAAGAGGAAGGTGGCAACAACAAGTAGGAGGGAGGTGAAGTGTATAAACTAAGCGAGGAGGAAGTTCGGGTGAGAGATAAGTGACTATTGGCAGAAAGGTGGGCTGGTGCAAAGATGAGTAGTGGGGGGGGGGTGAAGAGGGTTGGATGAGTTTTAAAAATGCAGTATTAGAATGTGGGGCAGAAGTTTGTGGTTATAGGAGCGTGGGGGCAGGAAGAAAGAGGAGTGATTGGTGGAATGATGAAGTAAAGGGTGTGATAAAAGAGAAAAAGTTAGCTTATGAGACGTTTTTACAAAGCAGAAGTGTTATAAGAAGAGCAGAATATATGGAGAGTAAAAGAAAGATGAAGAGAGTGGTGAGAGAGTACAAAAGGAGAGCAGATGATAGAGTGGGAGAGGCACTGTCAAGAAATTTTAATGAATATAAGAAAAAAATTTTGGAGTGAGTTAAACAAGTTAAGAAAGCCTAGGGAACATATGAATTTGTCAGTTAAAAACAGAGTAGGGGAGTTAGTAGATGGGGAGAGGGTGGTATTAGGTAGATGGCGAGAATATTTTGAGGAACTTTTAAATGTTGAGGAAGAAAGGGAGGTGGTAATTTCATGCACTGTCCAGGGAGGTATACCATCTTTTAGGAGTGAAGAAGAGCAGAATGTAAGTGTGGGGGAGGTATGTGAGGCATTACATAGAATGAAAGGGGGTAAAGCAGCTGGAACTGATGGAATCATGACAGAAATGTTAAAAGCAGGTGGGGATATAGTTTTGGAGTGGTTGGGAGGTACTACCGTCCTGCCAAGTGCTTGTAAAACGAAAGCCTGTAATTGTTTTACATGATGGTAGTATTGCTGGTGTCCATTTTTCTGTCTCATAAACATGCAAGGTTTCAGGTACGTCTTGCTACCTCTACTTACACTTAGGTCACACTACTCATTCATGTACAAGTATATATATACACAACCCTCTGGGTTTCTTCTATTTTCTTACTAGTTCTTGTTCTTGTTTATTTCCTCTTACCTCCATGGGGAAGTGGAACAGAATTCTTCTTCCGTAAGCCATGCGTGTTGTAAGAGGCGACTAAACTGCCAGGAGCAAGGGGCTAGTAACCCCTTCTCCTGTATATATTACTAAATGAAAAAGGAGAAACTTTCGTTTTTCCTTTTGGGCCACCCTGCCTCGGTGGGATACAGCTGGTGCGTTGAAAGAAAGACGTGTGTATAGTGTGACCTAAGTGTAAGTAGAAGCAGCAATACATACCTGAAATCTTGCATGTGTTTGAGACAGGAGAAAAAGACACCAGGAATTCTATCATCATGTTAAACAATTACAGGCTTCCGTTTTACACTCACTTGGCAGGACGGTAGTACCTCCCTTTAGCGGTTGCTGTCTACCAACCTACTACCTACTGTATACCAGCTCTTTCTTTCTTTCAACACACCGGCCGTATCCCACCGAAGCAGGGTGGCCCAAAAGGAAAAACGAAAGTTTCTCCTTTTACATTTTGTAATATAAACAGGTGAAGGGGTTACTAGCCCCTTGCTCCTGGCATTTTGGTTGCCTCTTACAACACGCATGACTTACAGAGGAAGAATTCTGTTCCACTTCCCCATGGAGATAAGAGGAAATAAGCAAGAACAAGAACTAAAAAGAAAATAGGAGAAAACCCAGAGGGGTGTATATATATATATATATATATTGCTTGTACATGTATGTGTAGTGTGACCTAAGTGTAAGTAGAAGTAACAAGACATACCTGAAACCTTGCATGTTTATGAGACAGGAAAATGGACACCAGCCATCCTACCATCATGTAAAACAATTACAGGCTTTCGTTTTACACTCACTTGGCAGGATGGTAGTACCTCCCTGGGTGGTTGCTGTTTACCAACCTACTACCTACTGTATGCCAGTTATCACTGTATGCCCCTTACCAAGATAAGGTGCCATCATGTTTCTCACTGTGTCACCTGAGATACCCAATAACATCATAGTATCTTTCAATGTTTAACTTCCCGTGTATACAGTAATATCCAATACCAGGCCACTGTCACAGTCACAGAGTACAAACAGTTTTATACCGAAGCGTTTCCTCTTGCTCAATATATACTGTGTGAGCGACGGTCTACCTTTGAACAAAATCAAAGACTCTTCAATTACAAGATTCTTGAATGGATAAAAGTACATGTTGAACTTTTGTTTAAAATACATAAAAACGTTTCTAATCTTGTATAACCTGTCACTTCTGTCAGGCCTGGTTTTGTCAGAGAAGTGCAACATACGTAACAGTAAGATAAACCTGTTCACTGGGATGATTTCACTGAAGACCGGGGTAGAAATTAGCCGATCTGTGGACCAGTATGCTTTTATATTATGCTTATAGACATGAAGCATAAGCATTATTGTTGCAAAAAGCAAATACATTTCAGCCACAGTTGTCTCTTTCCACCGGTGTAGTCTTGACTGTGGTGGTATGATCGTATTTGCCATGGTGTACTCAAAATACTTGTTACTTTCCCTGACAATAATTTCCTTCAATGGCTGGTCAAAGAATAATTCAAAGAATTCCAGTTCATTGGCCGTGGTTCCAAGGGGACAAGTAGGTAGAATTCCACTTTGAGAGTCATCAAAGTGGTGGAGCTTGGGAACAAAATTGGGATTTTACTGCCAATCCCAGATGCAGTTTGCTGGTGGATACTGGACATCATAAGCTGGTTGTAGCTGTGGTGTGGTGGTGGATGACACTCCACTTTGTCCTTGAGTGTGGGTCCCCGCCTGGGCTGGTGAGTCATGCATGGCCGTGGCAATTCCACCACCACCCCCCCATACCACCACTTACTGATGCCTGTGGTCTATCCATGCCAAGTGTAGCCACATCATCCTCACTATCACTATCTAAACCTGGTGTAGGGCCACGGGATGTACTCCGGGATGTACTTCGTCCCCTGGGCACTGCATAGGGAACACTACCCGAGCGCATGCGGCGGCATATATACCGACGCTTCACTGGTGAATATGATTCATCACTATCACTACTCAAATGATCATCAGGAGCAATAAAATCACAATCCACATCACTATCATCATCATTACTGAAGTTTGAGGCCTGGCCAAGCGAAAATGTTAGTTTTCTCTTGCGACGAGGTATAAGTGAACGTGACTGAGACATCCCCACACCAGAGGTAGAAGGTTGAGGATCGTCAGGATTTTCTGCACTATTTTCGATATCTTGGTCATTGCTTTCGTTCATTAATCAATCAAAGCCATAGAATTCTTCTTCTTTTCCACTTCCATCAGAGTCAGAACTATGAGTTACGAAGAGGAGAGCTGCCTTGCAGCGAGGCATGGTGAACAAAGGTTACTGAGGCGGTGTTTCCACAATGCCATGCGGGCGCCTAGAATTTTTGTTTAAGGCGCGCGCACTCCACGCAGACCCATTCTCTCAGATGTAGGCCTACCAGCCTTCTCACGCTAAATTTGACACCGCTAGAATTTTGGCATAGTTCTACGGTTTGGACCCTCAACGTAAAGCCGTAGATCTACGGCATGGACCCTGAAAAGGTTAAGAAGTAGCCGGTTGTGTGACTAGTAAAGTAACTGTAGTTTGGGAGAACCTGCCAGTAGGCTGTAGTAGGAAAGTTTTTGATATTACCAAGATAAAATTAAAAGTTATGTACTATTTCATAAAATATATTCCACAGATGGCGTAACATACATTCCACGTATACGGTGGCAGGAGTTGAATTCTAAGAAATACAGTGGTCTTAGTTTAGAACATGGGCCGGTGGAGTGGCCTGTGCCAGTGCAAGTGGCTCTCGGCAAGTTCATGTACTCAATGATACTCTTGAAAGTGACGGTGTGGAGCCCTCTTCATTCAGAAAAGTAAGTCTTCTTTCCTTATAATTTATCCATTTGTAGTAAATAATTTGTCACCCTGCCTCAGTGGGAGACTACCAACATGTTAGAAAAAAAAAATTTTTGTTTGCAAGATAGTTTTGTAATTTTTTCTTGGTTCTTATCATATTTTTAATAATGAAGATGTGCCATTAAAATCATACGTGAATTATTTGTTATTTAATGAAAGTTAAGTTATGAATGGGCTATATCGTGACTTACAGGAATGCATATCCAGCTGTGTATGAAGTAGAGAGGATGAAGGGTTATCGTACAGTGGACAACATCAAGCCATCCCCAGCTCTAGTGGAGCTCTTTCAAAAAGCTGCAAAGTCTACACTGACTTTTGAGTCAATGGTGTCACCCATGTTATGCCCTCCTTTACCATGGGTCTCCACTCAGCTGGGAGGCTATCTGCTCATTAATGCCAAGATTGTCAGGTAAGATAGGCATTGTTATATGATGTACAGCTTGAAAAGGCAAATGATAATGGATGGTTCCTCATTACTTTTCCAATTTTTTTTAATATTTACTAGTTATATTCTATGAGGATTTTCTTCTCTTTTTTAGTATTTTCTACAGGAGAAAGGGTTACTGGCCCATTGCTGCCGGCATTTTAGTCGCCTCATATGACATGCATGACTTACGAAGGAAAGATTTTTTTCCACTTTCCCATGGAGAATAGAGGAAATAAAGGAAAAAAAAAACTAGATGTGTGTATGTATATATATATGCATGTGCATGCCTGTGTAGTGTGACCTAAGTGTAAGTAGAAGTAGCAAGATATACCTGTTATCCATCGTGTTTATAAGACAGAAAAAAGACACCAACAATCCTGTCATCATGTAAAACTACCTACTGTTACAATTTGATAACTGTAGTGTAAGCACACCTCTGGCAAGACAGTGATGGAGTGATTGATGAATTTTTTTCTTTTTCGGGCCACCCTGCCTTGGTGGGAAACAGCCGATGTGTTAATAAAAAAAAAATATTCTAAGACTTATCTTGCTTTCAGGTTGCCGTATAATGCTCATCAGCAAAAGCAGCGAATGGCAGAGTGTGGTAACCAGCAGCTGTACCCTGTTATGGACTCTCTCAACCAGCTGAGCACCATACCTTGGAAAATCAATAAACCTATCCTTGATATTATTATTAAGGTAACACTTGTGCTGAATAACCATACATGCTTAAGTTTTTATTGAAAATTACAATAATATGGAGTAAGGGAGTGTAAAAGGGGAGCAATGATAGAGTGGGTGAAGTGCTGTCAACAAAGTTGCAGTTGTTAATGAAGAAATTTGGTAGTGTGTGACAAAGGAAATTAAAAGTGAATGTAGCATGAGGGCAAGATAATGAGAGTAGCAAAAAGTGCAGCCAGTGGAAGACTGTATCAGACTGGAGGAAGTATGGAGAAACATAACCTATATAGATATTAGGGAATTGATGTATCAGCAAGTGGTTTTATGAAAGACAAGATGAACCATACAGTAGACAGTTAACCCTTTGACTGTCGCAACCCCCAATCCTGAGGTCTCTCCTGGTGTTGCAAAAATTAAAAAAAAAAAAAAAAATTCTTATGAAATGATAGAGAATATTTTCCCGATGGTAATGACACCAAAAATATGAAATTTGATAGAAAATTTATGGAATTACGCTCTCGCAAAGTTGGCGACCTCGGTGATATTTACGAATCGGTGATTTCGCCCACTTTGAGCCCTATTTTCGGCTAATTCCATTGTTCCAGTCGACCAAACTCATAGCAATTTCTTTAGAACTCCATTTTTTTTCTGTCGATTGAATACAAGAAACTGCCCATTTACCAATTTCAACTACCCAATAACATGGTCAGAAATTTGCAATTTGGCCAATTTCACAAAAATTAAAAAATATGACAATTTCAAAATAGGGTCCAAAATGAACAATGCAGACATTCCTGGCTCGAAAATAACATTTTCTTTGTTCATCAGTCACGTCTCCAGGCCCCTCTGATATTACTCTTGCTTTCTATTTTGAATTTTTATTCAAACAAAAAATAGAAGATTTACTGTTATACAGACTACTGCAATACTGTAATAATTGTACAAATGTCAACCCATTCATGACTGCATATTAGAATGGCTAGTTGGACATTTATTGAACAATGACATCATTTGTTTACTTTTGAACATCGGCAAAAATCAAACATTTTCCCTACTTTGAGCTCCATTTCCAGGTTCTTTTTATAGTAAAACCAATCAAAATCACCTCTATTTCTATAATATGTTTTCCATTCTATCAAATTAGACCAAGAAAACGAGAATACAACCATAAATACTATATGAAAATAGACCACAAAGTCGGCATTTTAATTAAAAAAGCAGTTTTTTTTTTTCTCATTTTGCACTGCGTGCTGCAGGATTTTTTTTTATATGGTGCACACTGACCATACAGACCCATTCTCTCACATGTGGGTCTACCAGCGTTCTCCTGCTTGATTTGAAGCCACTAGAATTTATGAGTATTTATACGTCAAACACGGTGGCTCGTAAGATGCATATATATGACTGAAACAGTCAAAGGGTTAAGAATAATAGTATCTTTATATCTACAAGTACGTGAACAAGGTATACAGACCTAGCCTAGATGATATCAGTGACATACGGTGGACTCTCAGTTAATGATATTAATCTGTTCCAGAGAGCTTGTCCTTAACCGATTTTATCGTTATCCGATTTAATTTTTCCCATAAGAAATAATGGAGATCCAATTAATACGTTCCTGCTGTCAGGAGGCATGACAGAATAGTACTTCAATATGATGCTATTATCAACTCTATGGCTTATTTATCTATCACAGTTCATCGAATATGACGTAATAAACAATATTAATAACATAGAAAAATGATATACAGTGGACCCTCGACCAGCGATATTAATCCGTTCCTGAGAGCTCATCGTTAATGGAAATTATTGTTAGTCGAGTTAATTTTCCCCATAAGAAATAATGGAAATCAAATTAATCCGTGAAAGACACCCAAAAGTATTGAAAAAAAAAATTTTTACCACATGAAATATTAATTTTAATACACACAAACTGAAGAAGACATGCACAGTTACATGACACTTACCTTTATTGAAGATCTGGTGATGATTGATGGGATGGGAGGAGGGGAGAGTGTTGATGGTGTTAGTGTTTAGAAGGGGAATCCCCTTCCATAAGAACTTGAGGTGGCAAGTCCTTTTTCGGGGTTACTTCCCTTCTTCTTTTAATGCCACTAGGACCAGCTTGAGTCACTGGACTTCTGTCGCACAACATATCTGTCCATAGAGGCCTGTACCTCCCTTTCCTTTATGACATTCCTAAAGTGTTTCACAACTTTGTCAGTGTCACAATTAAACACTTGTTCAGGTTTCAGTTCTTCACTGTCTGTGTACTCCTTGAATTCCTGCACATATTTTTCAGCTGCGTTTTGGTCCAAACTGGCAGTCTCACCATGCCTTATCACACTATGTATGCCACTACGATTCTTAAATCTCTCAAACCAACTTTTGCTGGCCTTAAATTTACTCACATCACCACTAGTTGCTGGCATTTTTCTAATTAAATCCTCATGCAACTTCCTAGCCTTTTCACATATGATCGCTTGAGAGATGCTATCTCCTGCTATCTGTTTTTCATTGATCCACACCAATAACAGTCTCTCAACATCTTCTATCACTTGCGATCTCAGTTTCGAAAACATAGTTGCACCTTTGGCAAGAACAGCTTCCTTGATTACCGTTTTCTTGGCCACAATAGTAGCGATGGTTGATTGGGGTTTTGTGTATAACCTGGCCAGCTCGGAGACACACACTCCACTTTCATAATTAGCAATGATCTCTTTCTTCATATCCAGAGTAATTCTCACCCTTTTTGCTGTAGGGTTGGCACTAGAAGCTTTCTTGGGGCCCTTGGTGACTTATTTTGCAGGTGCAATCACTAAAAAGGCTGTGATAATATGAAATGTTCCGATTGTTTGCTTGGAAGCGACCGCGGTGGCTGGCTGGCTTGTAAACACTGGCCAGAAGTGGACGCGTCTCAGACGGAACGAATAGTGTTGGTCGATTTTTTAGCGCTAGTAGAGGCAAAATTTTTGCGTTAAAATGTATCGCTGGTTGGATTTATCGTTAATCAATGCCATCGTTGGTCGAGGGTCCACTGTATACTCTAGAATAAATAAAATATGTCATAATGTATGTGAGGATAAGTGGTGGAAGTGTTGTTGGTAGGTTTATAATGGCCACTGAGAGAAGTCGTACATATTAGTGGTGGAGGAGGCTTCTGCCACCTCCACTATCCACACACAATATATGTACGTAACTTATAAATAAGAAATATAATTTATAAAAAAGAAACATTTCCACTTACCTTGGAGGAGATGTTAGCTTAAATACGAAATTAGTTTGATGGAGTGTAGCAGATATGCAGGGAGTGTAGCAGGCATGCAGGGAATGTAGCAGGGAGTGTAGCAGACATGCAGGGAGTGTAGCAGGCATGCAGGGAATGTAGCAGGGAGTGTAGCAGGCATGCAGGGAATGTAGCAGGGAGTGTAGCAGGCATGCAGGGAATGTAGCAGGGAGTGTAGCAGGCATGCAGGGAGTGTAGCAGGCATGCAGGGAGTGTAGCAGGCATGCAGGGAATGTAGCAGGCATGCAGGGAATGTAGCAGGGAGTGTAGCAGGGAGTGTAGCAGGCATGCAGGGAATGTAGCAGGGAGTGTAGCAGACATGCAGGGAATGTAGCAGGGAGTGTAGCAGGCATGCAGGGAATGTAGCAGGGAGTGTAGCAGGCATGCAGGGAATGTAGCAGGGAGTGTAGCAGGCATGCAGGGAGTGTAGCAGGCATGCAGGGAGTGTAGCAGGCATGCAGGGAATGTAGCAGGCATGCAGGGAATGTAGCAGGGAGTGTAGCAGGGAGTGTAGCAGGCATGCAGGGAATGTAGCAGGGAGTGTAGCAGGCATGCAGGGAATGTAGCAGGGAGTGTAGCAGGCATGCAGGGAATGTAGCAGGGAGTGTAGCAGGCATGCAGGGAATGTAGCAGGGAGTGTAGCAGGCATGCAGGGAATGTAGCAGGGAGTGTAGCAGGCATGCAGGGAATGTAGCAGGGAGTGTAGCAAGCATGCAGGGAGTGTGTGACGCTGATATCTCTACGGCTTATTTATCTATCACAATTCATCTAATATGACATAATAAACAATATTAATAACTTAGAAACATGATATATACTCTAGAGTGAATAAAATATGTCATAATGTATGTGAGGATAAGTGCTGGAAGTGGTGGTGTTGGGTTTATAATGACCACTGAGAGAAGTCGTACATATTAGTGGTGGAGGAGGCTTCTGCCACCTCCACTATCCACAAACAATTTTTTTTTTTTTTTTTTTTTTTCAACAAGTCGGCCGTCTCCCACCGAGGCAGGGTGACCCAAAAAAGAAAGAAAATCCCCAAAAAGAAAATACTTTCATCATCATTCAACACTTTCACCACACTTGCACATTATCACTGTTTTTGCAGAGGTGCTCAGAATACAACAGTCTAGAAGCATATACATATAAAGATACACAACATATCCCTCCAAACTGCCAATATCCCAAACCCCTCCTTTAAAGTGCAGGCATTGTACTTCCCATTTCCAGGACTCAAGTCCGACTATATGAAAATAACCGGTTTCCCTGAATTTTTTTTTTTTTTTTTTTTTTTTTTTCAACAAGTCGGCCGTCTCCCACCGAGGCAGGGTGACCCAAAAAAGAAAGAAAATCCCCAAAAAGAAAATACTTTCATCATCATTCAACACTTTCACCACACTCGCACATTATCACTGTTTTTGCAGAGGTGCTCAGAATACAACAGTCTAGAAGCATACACATATAAAGATACACAACATATCCCTCCAAACTGCCAATATCCCAAACCCCTCCTTTAAAGTGCAGGCATTGTACTTCCCATTTCCAGGACTCAAGTCCGACTATATGAAAATACCGGTTTCCCTGAATCCCTTCACTAAATATTACCCTGCTCACACTCCAACAGATCGTCAGGTCCCAAGTACCATTCGTCTCCATTCACTCCTATCTAACACGCTCACGCACGCTTGCTGGAAGTCCAAGCCCCTTGCCCACAAAACCTCCTTTACCCCCC